CCCCCCCCCCCCCCTGGCGATCTATCCGGGCTGTCGGGAGCTGAGCCGGCGGCCCTACTCTCTCTCTCCAGTAAGGGCTGGAAGGGGCGTCCTTGGAAGCTGGGACGCTGGGGAGAAACGGTGGGGGGGGGAACCAGACCCCCGCACAATCTCTGCTCCCCCCCCCGCGCGCATCTCCCTGAGCCCCCGCGTGAGGTCGCGGCTCCCGGATCCCGCCGGAGGGCGAGACACCGTCTGTGCCCGCGGCGGAGAGAAACCGGTCCGGCGGGTTTCCCTTCCTGCCGGGGCTGGAGGCGAGTCCGCGGCGTCCCCAGGGAGCGGGGAGGCTGGCGCGAATTCTGGCGGCCGCTTCCAGAAAAGGCCCCGCCTGCCGGAGGTTCCCACGACCCTGAGCAACTTCAGAGGACTAGAACGGAAGAAGCTTCTTGGATAAGAAGCGAAACGTTTTCGAAGAAAGAAAAAAAAATAAAAAACAAAGTCCAGTTGCCTTTTTGGGGTACAATCATGCCCGGGATGACTGAGGATTTCCAGAGGTTTGGAGTGTTGGAAGTCGGGTGCTCTAGGACAGGCATCTCCAACCTTGGCCACTTTAATAATTCTGGGAGTTGAAGTCCTCAAGGCTTAAGGTTGGAGAACCCTGACTCTAGGACCCCGACCAAAGCGACGCAACAAGGACACTAAACGGGTTCTGCGAACGCCGCCGTCGCCCCGGCCTGCCTCGCTGCTCCGCTCCGCATAAACCGTCGTGGGAACCAGCCGGAATAGTTGCACCCCGTGTTTTAGAGCTCTAGTCCGAACTGTTTCTTCAGCCACCGGGGAGTTTGTGCTCCGTCGCCTTCTTGCTGCCCAGAGCCTCTGGCGAGCGGGGGGTGGGGGGCGCAGGTGTGCCAGATCCAGGTGTGCCTCTGAGCATGTCCGGAGCGCTCCTCGGCTGGGCGAGGTGGGGCGAGGAAGTTGAAGCCGGTGCCGTCCGGGAGCCGGATCTGGGGCGGAGGCCGGCCGGGAGAGTCCGGTTCCTCCCCGCGGGCAGCAGGCAGGGGTGACGCGCAGGCCAGGAAGCGCGGCGTGGCAGGGCTGCCATGGGCGAGACCGAGGAGCAGCCCCCGACCCGGCGCCGCTTCCCGCTCCTGCTGCTGCTGCTGCTGGTGGTGGAGGTAAAAGCCGGGACGCGGCGCCCCCCCACCTTCCCCGAGGCGAGGCTGCTCAAGCGGTCCGCCCCGCGGCCAGAGCTCCCGAGGTCTGCTCCCACGGGAGGGAGGGCGAGGAGGGTCCCCGGAGGCGGGGGGCAGACTCGCGTGGGGGCCCTGGGTCTCCCGGGCGCAGCTTCAGAAAGAGCGCGGAGGATGGGAGATGGAGAGGCCGGAGCTCCAGGCGGCGGGTGGAGCCGGAGAGCCGCTGCCAGCGCCGGCCAGCCCTCCTTGGGTCGCCGGGGCTGCGTCTCGCTTTCGACGGAGGGCGCCGCCTTGAAGCCCGCTCTCTTTGGCGTCGGGTAACCCCGACGGGCGTCCCGCGAAGTGGCTCCGCTTTCCCGGCCGCCGGATTGTCCGGTCGCAGCGCTGCCAGGCCGGTCCCGGAAAGGCCGGGTCCCCCCCTTGGACGGCGCGGCCGAGAGCCTGGCTCCGGGCCCACCCGCTGCTTCTGCCTTCCCCGCAGACTCGGACCGGCGGCCCCGCAGCGGCAGAATCGGAGCCGGAGCCGGAGCCGCCGCTGCTCTTGGTGGCCACGCTGGACGGGCGCCTCCGCGCAGTGAGCCCGGCCACGGGGGACGCCCGCTGGACGCTGGAGGAGGGTGAGCGGCGGGCGGGGCGGCGGGGCTGCTCCCATGACTCCCCGCCGCCCCCCGAGAGCGCCTCTTCCCGCTTCTGACGGCGCTGCTCTGCTTTCAGATCCGCCTCTGCAGGTGCCCCGCCGAGAGCCCGAGTGAGTGGCGCCGGCCGCGCTTGGTCCGCCCACAGCGCCGCCTGCCCGACCCCCACTCCCCATAAAGCAGCCGAGGAGGGGGCGGGGGGGGGGGCTGAGAGGAAGGGGGGCTGCCCAGGCGGCGTGGCTGGCCTCGGGCCGGAGGAGCTGTCCGGGGCCAGCGCCCTTCTCGTCTTCTCTGTGCAGGCCCGCCTTTCTCCCCGACCCCAGCGACGGCAGCTTGTATGTGGTGGGGGGCAAGGACCAGGGGGGACTGATGGTAAGTAGCCACGAAAGGGGGCGGGGCTCACCTGAGTCAAGGTGGCCCCTGCTAAGTTGCACTCCTAGGGGGCTAAAGGGGGAGGAGCCATCCTGCAGACCCCTCCCCTGATGGGCAGGGGGAGAAAGCTGGAAGGGCTCCAAGTCCTGGGTTGTGCAACCGATGGGGAAACCGACCCCATAAGAGGCTAGGATGGCCCAAAAGGAGTGAGGGGAAGTGACCAGAGACTCACTGGAGGAGCTCCACCTGGGGCTGCCAGCCCTTAAACAGATTAACAGAGTTAGAAGGGACCTTGTAGGTCATCTAGTCGAACCCCCTGCCCAAGCAGGAGATCCTACACCATTTCTGCCATTCTGCTGGCTGAGGACACTCTCCGGAGTGAAGCACAGGATTAAGCCAGCTGGGTCTTGGAGGCCATGTGCAGCCAGGAATAATAGAGTTGGGGGGGATCTTGGAGGTCTTCTAATCCAACCAACTGAGCAGTAGACAGGCAAGTGGCTGCCCAGTCTCTTCTGGAAAGCCTCCAGTGATGGAGCCTCCACAACCTCTGAAGGTAAGGGGTTCTACTGGTTGATTGGTGTCACTGTCAGGAAATTCCTCCTTAGTTTCTTGTTGCTTCTCTCCTGCCATAGGTGCTTCTTGTCCTGTCTTCAGGTGCTTCTCTGTGACGGCCCCTCAGGAATTGGAAGACTGCTGTCATATCACATCGGATTCTGTTAGGGTTTGGAGATTAACCCCTAGAAGAGTATTGCAGCAGTAGTCAAGCCAGGAAGCCAAACGAGAGCGGAAGGGCCCCAGAGTATACACACACTGAACACAAACACTGTTTGTAGTTTAAATAGTTTTTAATCCAGTTAGAGTTTAAGCATTGTCATTCAGTCCATTAAGTCATTCACAGTATTTCCATCCAGTAAGACTCACTAGTATAGTCCAAGTTAAGAGTCCTTGCAATATCTTTATCAGCCGATAAAGATATCTTCTCCTCCTCCGGTTTCACTCTCCAGAGAAACAAACGCTGGATATTCAGTAGAATTACGCAGTAAATCAGCAAACAGTAGCAAACAATAACAGTTCAGTCACAGGCACTCACAGTCAGTAATCTCAGTTAGTCGCAGCAAGACACAGTTAGTCGCAGCAGCACACAGTTACAGTAGCACACAGTTACAGCCAGACAGTAAGCCAGCTTTCCAGCTTCTAATGCTTCCTTATATTGTAACTTCTAGCCGCACCCTTAATCAGCTAATTGCCTGCTGCATTGTGCTTAAAGTGATAAGCACTTAAAC